TTACTCTTCATCAGACTAACTCTGTTATTCCTTCCCCACCCCCACCCTTGGCCTTCATAAGACAGAAATAGACATATTAGAAGTATGAACAGGGGTAAGAAGATTGGTTAGTAGTGAGGGAGAAAACACCTCATTTCTGTTTTTTTCTATCATCTCACGCCTGTGAACAAACACCATGTTCAAAGTATGTGTTTGTGTTCTCACTGCAGCCTTCTGTATACAATGTCTTTGGTTGTGTAGCACCTCCTTGCTAGAGCAAAAAGCAGGCCTCGCTGTTTCGCCATATTTCTGTGGACAACTGTATTACCAGCACCGTGTTTAAACGTGTTTCCAGATATTCTCAGGACTCCTCCCAGAGTAACTTTATCCAGCGCCTCTCAGTCTGTGAAAAGCAAGGCCCGGTACCACCGTTCGGGACAGCAGAGAGGGAGGAAGGATGCTGATAGTCAGCGCTGGGCCCAGCTCATCCACCAAACTGACTGGCCTCCTCCCTTATTTCATCTGATGTCCACAGACAAATCTGTATCATTAAAACAATGACCTCATTGGCAGCACTAGAGTTGGGTGCAAAGGAAAGACCCTCTGACCTGAACTCAGCTTGGTCTCGGATTTGAATTTCAACAGTAAGCCTTTGAAGTATTTGTTCTTGAATAAGTCACTTCACTGATTCTAGACCTGTGCCCACTCGGTAAGTGGAGGTAGGAACCTACCTCTCCAGGTTGTTGTGGTCACTGATCTGTGACGTTGGTAGCTCTTTCGTCTCCAGAGAAACGGTTTAGCTAGCGCATTAGTTTGTTTGATACAGTTTTTGTAGCCAGAGTATCTCTCCTGGGCACTTGACGGAATGGAATGTAAATGACCAGGGCGTGGAATAAATGTGCATGGCACTCTTGTTCTCCTTTCTCCTCCCTTAGAATTTTGACTTGGATTCCTCATTGCTGACCCACTTCCTCTAAGGCCAGTTCAGCCCTGAGAGTGAGGCTCCTGACGGGCAAGGGCTACATGTTTTGAGTGTAAGCGCTCTGACTGAGATACAAATCCAGGCATGCAGGTTTCCCTCCAACTGGTCTACAGAAAAGAAAACAAATCCTAGGCTAACATGCACCTGCTCTGCAGTGGTTTCATGTGTGTACACACCACTATACACTAACACATATATACACACGTGCACACAAACCACACACATATACACACACGCACACACACATATACACACGCACACAAAGCATACACATATATACACACATGCACACAAACCATACATACACACACATGCATGCGCATACACACACAAACACACACAGTCCCCACGTCCCTGCTGTTCCTGACGTGGACAGAGATAGCACATACAAGTTCCCTGACAGTGAATGCATCGTCTCTCTGACATTCGCACAGCTGCTTTCCCTCACCATTGTGTAACGGGTAATGTTATGTGTCAGCTTGACCCTGCTTAGATAGGAACACCTCAGTAGCTGATGAAACGGGAGCTCTGGGTGTGTCTGTGAGGCTGTTTGGCAGGAGATGAGTGTCTGCATCAGGAGGCTGAGTAAAGAGCCCCGTCTCCCCCTGGATGGGATCATCCAATTCTTCGCTGGCCTGAAGGAACCAAAAAGTGGGAGGAACGTCAAGCGCACACCGTCCGCCTTCTCTTGCCCTCTGACCGACGTCAGCGCTCCTGGGTCATGGACTTTGGCACCGACCTGGACTTAGACCACAGGCGCCCACCTTCTCAGGCCTCTGGACTCAGGCCTCTGACTCAGGACCCCAGCACCGGCTTCCTCGACCTCCAGCTTGCAGACGGCAGATGGTGGGACTTGTAGGCCTGCATGGCCTCCTGAGCCAATTCATACATATACACATTCCTCCTACTGGTTCCGTTTCTCTGGAGAACCCTGAGTAATACAAGTTTTTATACTTATTGTTACTTGTCACAGTTTAAGTTAAGGTTTAAAACTTCTCAGCCAGAAATTTTACCTAGTAGCACCTTTTTCATAATTTAATATCCGGAGTCTCTCCAGTTATTTCTCCCTAAAGATGATCAGATACCTGTAGTCGGTATTTAAAGGTGGCCTTGATTCCAAAAGGAGAGATAAACTGCTTAGAAATACACTTAATAAACGGCAGAGTTATCTAGTTCCAAAGCTTGTGTTCTTTCCACAAAACCATACCGTGCTGTAATGCCCAACTTCACATCCCTGTGCTGAGTACATGGCAGGCACTTAATAAAAACGTACATGACTGGAGTGAAAGTGAGAAAGGTCCTTAAGTTATTGCCTGAAGTCTCAGCAGAGGGGATCTGGAATCAGACCGATCCCTGTGTCTCCTGTCCCATTGCTCTGCTCAGTTTCTGGCCTGGGGACACTTACCATCAGCCTGAACATTTGTCCCCCAACACATGCTCTTTCAGAAACCCCAAAATGGGTTGGGAATATTTAGGGATCTTCTTACTAAGCTATTTAATGAGTGAAACTTCCCATTGGTGGAATGCTAGAGAAGCGTTTTGTGGACAGGACGCGAAAAAGCGATGCTATTTTAAACATTGCTCAGAGAGTTTGGGCAAAATCCATCTGGCAGACAAATGATTTCTTCTTCCGTTCAAAAACTCATCAAGCACGCCAAACGTGTAACCTGTAGGCAAGTTTAATTAAAGCTTGAGAAATCTCAAAATAACCTGACATTTAAATATGTTATTTCTGTTCTGCTCTCATAATCTGACATTCACAGAGACTTTCTCAAGTCCAAATGAAGCGCCACACTGCCATCTACCCCTGCCTGACTCCTGGGTGACCCTGTGCCCAAGGTGACAGGATGTGAGTGAAATAGGCTTATCCAATCATTGTCCTTCAAATGTTAACATCCATTTCACAGAGAAATGGGGGGGAAGACAAATAAGAAGTTTGGTTGATGGATCACAGAAGAGATGATTGTGAGGATGGATAGATAGATAGATAGATAGATAGATAGATAGATAGATAGATACGGAGTGAAATTCGTTTTGCTTCCTTAAAAAGGTGAAGGCAGAGCTTCTCTTGGGAGATCCTCATGAAAGGACTTAAAAAGTCAGTGTTTTTTGCCATGGGGCAAGAAATCTAAAATGTGAAATCATTCAGCAAAATAAGTAGGCATTAACGTGGTCAGCATTTATAGATCCCAAGTATATACTCTCTGTCTTGGAGTGATGCCATTTTTAAGTGGCCTGGATCGTCCTGGACCCACGTTCAATGTGAAGTTAGGGTAAGAAGCCCTGTTCGAGGCCTTCAGATGGCCTTGTATTCCTTCTCTGATGATCTTCCATTCTTTACACCGACCTGAGTTTCTCACCTGTATCATTTTCCTTCTTCGTGAAGAACTTCTTTCAACATTTCTTGTAGAGCAGGCCTGCCAGTGTTGAAGTACTGATGTTGAATGCCAAGGAACGGGTTGGTTTGGTTGTGTGCTTGCTTGTTTATTTGGTATTTATTCTGCCTGGTATTCTCTGAGTTTTCTGGATCTGCAGTTTGGAAAGTTCTTTGCCATTATTACTTCAGTATCTCTTCTGATATTAGGGAATAGTGTGTGCTTATGAATAGACCATGTGTACCTTTTGGAGTTGTCCCACAGGTTTTGATTGTTAGTTTTTTAACAATTAACAGCCAGTCAGAATGTCCCCTTCCCTGTAACAACGATTGGAGAAGTACCCATTATCTACTGCACACCTTCAGGCACAGGACCCAGCACCTACCTCTTGGTCCCATCCCCCCAAGACTGTAAAAGTGTGGACCTTCTATGGCCAGGGTCTTTGTCCTGTCCACCCCTAAAGGTTGCTTTTCTTAACGGGAGCCTTCTTTCTCCATGTCTAACTGGTTGACACCAAGAGAGTCAATCTGCCATGTTATCTTCTTGCCCCAGAGCCTGTAGTGTTTTTTAAAACATTTGAAATGTGTGGGGGGTTTTTTTCTTGGCTTCAAAGACCAATCCTTCTTTTATGGATTACTGGTGAATCATACAGTTTTTATTTGCTTGCTTTATTCATTTGTGTGTTCATTTATTTGCTAAGTATTTGTTGGTCACTTCCAAAATGCAAAATGCCCAGCTATGTCTCCGAGAGACATAAAGCCCAGAATTCACTGACATTCTGAGTGGAAAGTTGTGTGTGAGTGACTTGACTACAGAGTAGCTTATGCTATTGAGAAGCAAGATGATTTAGGAGTTAAATATGGGAAGAGATTGGACTTGCCTGATGTAATCAACCAGGCATCATTTATATTTGATGTCAGAGCCGGGCAGAAAACAAAGGTGCGCTCAAGCAAGGTAACTAGGAAAACTTTAGTAAAGAGATGATTTGTACAAGTGGAGGAAAACCTGAAAGGACCCAACAAAGATGGTGACGCATCACGAAGCCAGCGACAACAAGGGAGCTGTCTCCACAGCTAGACTGGCGGGGCAAAGGGAGGCACGGTACCCGGGAGAGCCGCGGGGGCCGTCCTGCTGGGACAGGGCCCCTCGGGAGCTGTGGATCATGGTGGAGCTGCAGCCACTGCTAACACAGGCCTGGAAGGAGAAAGGATGGTGGTGGTGGTGGGGGGTACATGCCCCAGCCCCCTCTCTTCCTGCTTTCCCCCCTCCCACTGGCATTTCCCATTGGCAGGACCCAGGTGGAAGTCACAGGCCAAGCCCACCACGGCCAGCTTCCCGGAAACAAAGCGGGCGGTGGGTGAGAAGAACGCGGGAGAGGAAAAGGAGGCTACCCAGTTCCAAGAGAGTCTGCACTTCTGCAGTTGGGGTGGGGTCTCACGGGCAAGGAGGGTTCCAAGTCCTTGAGGGGAGGAGGACTCAGAGGCAAAACACGTTGAAAACTTGCCACCACATCTTGACTCCCTCTGCACAATGACCTGAGCTCTCGCCTCCAGGGGACAATCTCTGAAGCAGCATAAATGGTTACAAATTTGATATTTATTTGTTAAAAGATTTTGGCTGCGGAAGGGTGGAACTGGTGACAGACACACTTTTCTCTCCGACAGCCTTCTAGCAGCAGCAGGAGGAAACCGCCGGACGGCCAGCGTGGTGGCCCACGGCTTCGCCAACCTTCTAACTCTGGACAAGAAGACCCTGCAGGAAATCCTAGTGCATTATCCAGATTCCGAGAAGCTTCTCATGAGGAAAGCCAGGTACAACCTTTAAAACCCCCTCAGGCAGGAACTGGTTTCCTTTGTAACATCTAAGAGGAGAACTGGTTTGTGGTGGCAGTGATCACCTTTCTCCATGACGTACACATAACAAGCAACTTTTACGCCGTTATCCATGGAAAGCTTGACAGATTAGGAGAAAGGACAGTATTTCTGGTGGGTTTTTCCAGAGCTCTCGCAGTGCTGTCTGAAATAGGCTTTCTGTCCTGTCCACAGAGTGCTTATCAAGAAGAAGGCCCCAGCCACAGACCCAACCTCTCCGAGGAAAGGGCTTGCCTTTCCCTGCCCCCCCAAGCCAGAGACACCCAAAATGTTTGAAGTTCTCCAGGGAGGCACAGGAAAAGCTGGTCTTGCAAGACTCCTCAAGCTGAAGAGAGAGCAGACGGTTCTGGTAAGCAGGGCGAGTGGAGGGCGGTCATGGCCAGAGCGCGGGACCCAGGTGTCCAGACAGGCTCCTGTTTCAGCTCCGTTCTGGATTAACAAAGCTGCTGTGCAATAGTGAGAATCAATTGTGTATAACAAACATACTCCTGTAAATATGTAACACATTTCACCAGCAAGCCGGTACACATGTTCACAGATAATTATCTATCGCGCATGTTCAAAGCCAGAAATAATCTCATCGGTTTCATTCAGGCCCTTCAAGTTATAGATGCAGAAACTGAGACCCAGGTCAGTTTATTGGATAACATCACGTAAGTCAGTGACAGAGCGAAACTATCATATTCCTCTCCACACTCAAGGTATTCAAACCTCCAGGCCTGCAGCGAGCTGCCTCCCGATTCCTAGAAATGTCCAGAAACTCATATGTTATACTGTTCTTCTATTTTATATATATATTATTTAACTCTCATAATAAGCCTTGGAGGGTAGATACTGAAAAACAGAGCAGGGTTTCGGGGTTTCTGAATCTAGTTAATATAGTATTTCTAACTGTGGCTTTTTAAGAAAATTGTAAAGCAAATATACAGTCAGTCACACTCAGGAGACTAAACTGTCTCTCCCTTTCCAAATGCGCACGGGGATGAAAGGTGGGATCCAGTGTAAACCAGCCTCATTGAATCGTCGCAGAAACAGCAATTTGTGCAAAGACTTACGGGGTCAAGAAATACATCAGGCAGTGCATTAAGCGAGGCTCTCGCCTCATACCTCCTGCAGGCCTCTCTGAAACTGACCCCAAGCGTCACCAGTGAAGGGGGTAGTTCCTTTTCTCACTGTGAAATTTCTACATGTGACGCTTAACACAGTGGGTTCTAAACTGATAGCTCAGGCCCCGTGGGACAAATGCAGATGATGGAGGAAGAGAGATGACTGTCCCCCTGAGGCTCTCCCACGCGTGTGTGCAGGAGGAACACACACTCTCCATGGCCTTTTCCTGGTATTCACTGAATACTTTAAAAAAAAAATTTTTAATTTCATCTTCACAAAATAAATAAGTGAATATTTTAATAGCAAAGCGGAGTCCTGAGCACCCAATGTACTAATTCAGAGAGCGTGAGGCCCCACAGGAAGACAGCCCCGGCTGGGAAGAAGCGCCGTGCAGCCCAGCACGGCGCACGCTTCGGCCGGGGGGCTGAGGCCCGCTGTCCAGCACATCAGCACCGCCCCCGAGTGAGAGCTGCACGCCAGGCACCAGGATGCACTTAGTAACGGAACTCGGACCGTCCGTCCTGGTGTTGATCCTTAGCCCTCGGATTTAACCCAAAGGCCCCAATGTCCTTGATAATGAGTGCATTACCCATACTTTGCAACTGCTTCTTCCAGAAAAACGGTGAGAGCTCTGAAGGAGGCGAGGGTAAAGGGAAAGGCTGTGACAATCAAAGAAGAGGGCTGGCAGAGGAATCGCGTTCTGCTACAGATGAGGACGTGCCTCAGCCCACGGGAAGGACAGTGTCACCCACAGGGACTGCCTGCTGGTCACTCGTCGTCAGCATGGCTCCTGCCCAGGCCGGGAAAGAGGTGCTGTCAATTGCAGTCAAAGAAAAGGCTCAGAAATAAATGTTTGGATGACCTAGTTCCCAAAGAGCTTGTACCCTGGGTTGTAGCTATGTTGGGCGGGGGGGGAAGGAAGGGGCCTTGCCAGGACCCTTGAGAAATCAGACAAAGCCCTAGTTTCATTTCTAGGACTTAACGGGAGTGCGATCTTATGCAGCAAGAGAAGTAATAAGATTATTAAAAACCGTCCCTATCTGTTATCATTAACTTCGCGCAGTTAACTTCTCCTAACTGTACATAATAGGGTTTTCTTCTTCCGTTCTTTATGATGTTTCTTCCCTCTGTTGGATTAGCTTGGTCTTGGCTGTGACTCACTAACCTTGTCTCTTAAATTTGTGTGTGTGTTAAAGTCTTGTGTGGCACTGTTATTCTTGGATAAATGCTCCATGTACATGCATATTACCTCTTATTTGTCGGGGAGTATGAGATTTTAATAAAGTGTCAAAAGTCAGGTGATTTCCACTCAAGTGAGGGTGAGGAGTCACTCAGATGTCATTTCGGCCGGCAGCTGGGCCTGCAGGGGAGCAGAGAGGGTGGGTGTGAGCTCGGACCTGCGGAAGAACCCGAGAGCAGCGTTGTCGGCAGGGTTCGGCCCCGGGAAACTCACATGGCAGCACCAGCTCGCTGGGAGAATCGTGCCCGCGGCTACAGACACAAACTTGAACACTCGCTCTCAAAGCAGATTCAAAGGCAACCGTCTGCCCGACTCATGCGGCTCAGCAGACTGGGGGGAATCAGGTCACCCCCATCTTCACAGAAGCTAAAGGGACAGTCTCAGAATCTCCCGCCAGCATCCGCTTCAGCAGGTGCGATTTGTCCTGCTCGTGTCCGGCTTCAGTAAAAAGTGACGCGGTCAGGAGGGCAGCTTGCACACACGTCGGACTGACATGTCCCTACAGTTTGCGGGACCCATGTGTACAGCTGTTTATCTCCAAGTAAATTAAGTGCATTTTAGGAATCTGTCCTCATCAATCAGCTGTCATTAGCACAATTATCAAAGTCTCCTGCTGTGAGGAGGCCAGAAGCCAGGCTGACGTCGAAAGTGATAATACGTACGGAATTCCATTCTAGTAAACGCCACTAGTGTATAGCATTAAGTTCTGCATAATAAGCCTGTTTCTGACACCCTGGAGTTGGTCACTGTAACAGCACTTGGCTGAGAGGGTTCTGACAAATGACATTAGCCAAAAAGCCTTGAACAACACAGATGCTTTGGGCAAGCCACGTATGAACTGACCACTGCAATAAAATGGACCACTTAGTAGCATCGCCATTGAGTCCAGGGTTTGAGAATCGTAAAAACATGGGAAGGTGTACAGAAGGTTGCCTGGCATTCTCAGAGTTTACGGGAATATGGAGAAATTGTTAAATAATACTTGATGAATAGAAGTCTGTGTGTAGAAATGAGTTAGAAAAGCCAGAAAGAAAAGGTGGAAATAGGGCCTGAAAAGAGTCTGATAATAGGAAAGCACAAAGGAAAAAAATCCTGAGCTTGTGAATAGTGTGCTGTCCCCTTCCACCCTGTAATTAAAATATAATGCTATTGCCATCTGTGTTCTTCCTGTCATTTGTTTCCTCTCCCAAACTGTCTTATTTCAGATAATATCATCTTCATTTTCCTAACCTCTCAGACTAAAATCTGAGAGTAATCAGTAACTCTTACACTGTTTATATAGTGTCACCAAATCCTTTTTCTTTCTCAGATCTTTCTAGTTATCATTTCTTTATCACTTCTGATGCTAACCTCAGTACATATTTTCCATTCAGTTCAAATAAACATCCATTTTTTTGCCTACACTCTGCTCTAATCACTAGTCTGCTGTCTCGGTCCCTTTGCCGTGGGAAAAATCAGGTCTTTCTAGTAAACCACCACGGTCTCTGTCCATTCGTGCCGCTTTAACAAAACAGCACAGACTGGGTGACTTATAAATGACAGAACTCTATTTCTCACCGTTCTGGAGGCTGGACGTCCAGGATCCTGAGGGCTCTCTTCCCTGCTCGCTGAGTCCTCCGTGGGGACAAGGGATCCCTCTGGAACCTCCTTCATAAGAGCACTGACCCCATTCATGAGGGCGGAGCACTCCCAAAGGCCCCACCTCCTAATACTATCCGTGGGGTTAGGATTTCAACTTATGGATTTGGGGAGGGGGACACAGTCAAACCATAGCAGTCACTTTTAATCATGTGACTTTTCTGCTCAGGGACCTACTAATTAAATCTTATTTACCCAAATTTAATCACCACTACCCCCAACCAGTCCCTCCATGGAAGTTGGTCTCCTTGCTTTTTCTGGAACCACCACCTGTCTTCCTTCCTCAGGCACTCGCCCATGCTGCCTGCCATACGATGCCCGCTCTCTCCTCCATCATTTTCCCCTCCCTGTAGCTCCACATCTCTGCCAACCACCTCTGAAAACATCAGCCCATGATGGGTCTGATCTCAGGGAGCCCCATGCAGACAGCACGCCACTGTTCTCTCATTTCTGTTCGCTCGTAAATTATAACGAGACCAAAACTAGCTCTTATGCCTTATTTGTATAAAGACAGAAAGCCCACTTTTTAAAGGGGGAGAGAATATTAATAGGCAACTCATGGAAGCAAGATAAGAAAATAAGAGTTCCTGTGCAAATCAGAACAAAAATGGAATACCACCTTTTGTACCCATCAAAATTGGAAAATGTTTGAAAGTAGATAATAGCAAGTGCCGACAAATGTGTAAGTCGGAGCTGCTGGCCTGGTAGTACTTAGCAAAGTTCTGACAGTACACCGCAGAACTCAGCAGCAAGTACTACGTCAGATACACATCCAGAAATTTCTCAAGCAGGTCTCCAAGAGAGAACGCAAGAGGAAAAACGTTGTTTGTGGTACAGATGTGCTGGGGGCAACTCGGGGGTCTACACCAGGAGAATGGATGAAAAAAATATGGTGCCCTGGGATGGGGAGAGATGGGGGTGTGGATGTGTTTTTAAGATAAAATTCTAACCAGCCATTAGAACTGATAAGTTATATTTACACATAAGAACATGGGGAGATATTACAAAAAACAACAACAAAAAAAACTAGTGTGGATTCTTTTTATTTTTCAGTAAGAAGATACCACACGTAGATTTTTATAAAACTTACCTAATAAAGACTCAGGAACAAACCCGTAGCCCAACGAAGTCAAGTTCATTAATTTGCTGCAGCAGGGAGACTGTTCACCTGAGGAAACACGGGTGTCCCAGCAAACAGGGAAAGAAGCGTTGTTCCAGGATCTCAGGGAACGTGGAGGCCACACAGAAGTGATATCATAAGAGGCTCACACTGAAGCAGACAGCTGTAAAGGGGTCGGCGTCAGGCTTGGGCTGACATGCACACTCGGGGTCCTGTTTCCTTGGCAACGACTCAGCTAAGACAGACACCGCCGCGGTGCCCAGAAAGCCCTCGTCTGTGTGTACCCGCTGCTTCTCCGTCAGAATGACCCAGATCCTCCTGGCAGAGTGGAGTGTTTCAGTCTTACTGAGAAGATCTCCAACAGCAGTTTCTGACAATCCACGACTTTAGAGAACAGTTTCTCAGAGCAGTGTCCTTTTGTTGTTAACAAAAGCAGTGTGTACAGCCTCCCACTTTAAAACACACACAAAACACTGTATGTCTTCCAAAAGTATCTACGTGTGTAAGGAACTATGTTAAATGCATTAGAGATAGTGACTGTGAGGGGACAGCAAAATGGCAGTGGTAATAGGAATGGATGATGTGAGGACAATAATAAAAGCATCAACTCAGGAGCCAGTGTGCCATGAACTTAGAAAATGACCAACGCAGCTCTTGGCACTTGGGTTCCAGCGCTGTGTCTGCTGACAGGCTGGTGGAGAAGTGAGAGCCCCAGCACCACCGGGATCGTCCCTGTAGCCTCGGGGACTCCTGAGTCACCAGCAGCCACTGTAGACACAGCCACCAGCTCACCTGCCTGCTGGGGCCTGACCTTCTCATGAGGCTTGTCTTCTGCATGGGGGCAGGCTGCACTTGACCCTTGCAGACACTGCTAAGCCTCCTGCTATGGACTGAATTGTGTCCCCCTCAAATTCCCATGCTGAGGCCCTAACCCCCAGTGCGACTGTATTCGGAGGTGGGGTTTTCACGGAGGTCATTAAGGTGACATGAGGTCGTAAGGGTGGGGTCCTCATCCAGAAAGACTGGTGTCCTTGTCCTTATGAGAAGACGGGAGATACCAGGTGTGCACCCAGAGAAAAGGCCAGGTGAGGGCACAGGGAGCAGAACCCAGGAGGGGCCTCAGGAGAAGCCAGTCCTGCTGGCATCTTCCTGTTGGACCTGCAGCCTCCAGAGGCGTGGGAAAGACTCTCCCTCCCTATGAGGAATTTTAAAATCTTAGGAGGATATTATTCATGACACTGCGCTGGAATTCATTCTGTCTAATCAGACCAAAGGTACTTGAAATTCATGTTTTAAGTACCTTACCCACAGACTGTATAGTAAAATTGCATGTTTTCCTCCATGAGTTTTCTGACTGGCTGTATTTTTCCTGCTGTAGCTTTTGTGATGAGAAGTGATGGCGCACAGGTCAAATGGCCTCATTAAGCAGTAGGGCCTAACATTTCTAGACAGTAACTCCCTCGGGTGGGGAGGGCGGTGCCAGGAAGGTCACAGCCCCCGTTACAGTGCCCGTCTCTGCCCACCGCACACAATGGTTCTGCTGCAGAGTCACAGGGACCTTCTGTCTGGAGCCCTAAGTGACACTGGACTCAGATGCAGTGCGTGCTAAGCCGGACTAACAAGGCTTGTGATGTGGCTTCTTGCAGCAGCTTTACATCAGTCAGTCCCTGGTGTTGATACCAGAGCCCTAGACTTGAAAGGGAATTCAGAGATTCCTACTCCAAGCCCCCGTTACACAGTTAAACAAAACCCCGTCACCAGGACAGAGACAGCGCAGCGTTCCCAGACATGAAGATCCTGGACTAACCTGATAAAAGTAGCAGCCACCTGAAGGGCTTTTCCAAACAACCCATCTCCCAAGATTTCATGGGGCAAAATAACGGTTAAGTCTGCCATGTTGGGGCCATGATTATATTCCAAACCAGAGCGGGCTATTCCAGATTTAGCTTGTCCTTCAGAAAGGGATAACCACAGATTTGCCTGGGAATGTGAAAGATTACGACAGTACAATTCTGCTATCCCGTCTGGAAACGCGAGTAGAGATTCAGTTAGGAAATAAAAGGGTTATTACAGCACCGGTACCAGCAGTGCCAGTCCCACTTCTTCCAGACGCCCAGCCACAGGCAGCGTCCATTTCTCTGTCTGCAGGCTCGTCTGCTTCCTCTGCATCATAAAGCCCTGTGTGACCTTCCATTTCCGCGTCCACTAGGGGGTGCCTGCTTCGTTCTCTTCTAGGCTCTGCGTGCAGCAGTGAGCAAAGCACACGGGATCCCTGATTTCTTGGAACTTACATGCGAGTGGGTGAAGAAGACGAGAAACCAGTAAGTAAACCTAGATGGGGGAGGGGAGGAGAGTGCTGGGGGGACAGCAGCAGCGCCGTGGAGAAGTCTCAGGACTAGTGGATGGAAGGGGCCTGTGGAGAATGGTTTGTTGGAGCTGTGGCATGACGGGGGTGAGGCTGCTATTGGGAAGTTGAGATTAGGGAGGGGTTGGTTAGGGTTACACTAAGGTCTAGGGTATGACCTCTGCTAAGGTGGGGACAAAACAGATGATCGGGAGGGATGGAGAGAGCCAACAAGAGGACGAGAGGACGACATTGCAGGATGGAGGTCTGCAGAGGCGAGTGCTGTCTGAGCAAAGAGCCGACCAAGGAGCGCCCTCACCTGCGTCCAAGCGCAGTGGGGGAGCAGAACCGGAAATCAGCACTTGAGAGGGCTGCTGAGGGAGGTTCATCAGGAGAGCCAGGTTTTCATGCGAGTCCAAACAGGAAGGGGCGCAGATAGGGCGCTGCTGCTGAATGACCCCGTTCCGTTCCCGAGGACGGAGCGGAGGGGATGGTACAGCGTCAGCCCCAGATTTTCAGGCCGCCCTACCTATAGGCTGGGAACCTTGCCCTTGCGGCACCCAGAAAAGTGTCTCGAGGCCAGTATCATTTAAATTAATAAGTCCCCTAAAATAATAAAACCCCAAACTCTAATTCAGTAAAATATGGAATACAGACCACCTAAAATACTACTTTCACTTTATTTCTAACGTATCTACTGGTTTTGATAACATTTAGAGAAAGAGTAAAAATAAAAACAAGGCACTATCGTAACATATCAAGAAATAACTTTATCAAAGGGAATTCAAATGGAAGATATATTTAACATCAGTTCATATATTTGTAATGTATACACTCATTATCAAGTACGACATCCAAAAAGCACAAAATAGTTTCTCACAGTCTCAGCCAAACTTCTCGCTTACGTGTCACTTCCATGACTGTCAACCGCATAAACAGAGACCAGGAGACATTTACTGGAGATGGCTTTCGGGGAAACGCGCAGAATGAAAAGGCAGAGAATGTCACATGAAGCACAAGCAGCAAGGAGGCATGGCCACCGGACCTTTGGCTGCGAACCTCTCAGTTCCAAGCACAGGTGGGTGACAGACAGTGTTAGGGGACCACCGTCTGGGTACTGGCACGTGAGAAGCAGCGTGTCTGTTCAGGCGCCGCCACCCCAGGCGTGTTCGTGATGTGTCTGATTACAGGGGGCTTGAAAGTCGGCCCTGGCTGTTTTTCCTTTAAATGCATTTTAAGACCTGATGGCACATGAATGAATGGTGGCACAGCAGGGAGAAGGACTATGTGAATACAAAACTATTAAATCAACATGCGATGGGTTGAAACGTAGAAATTGTACGAATTTTTATAAAATAATTTAGAAACTGTAAATGCTCTGACTCAAAACTGCAGAAAGGTTTCAATTACCCTGATTTGCTGGAATCACAGTTCTTATGAATCACAGCATCTACTGGTGAACCTGATCAAGAATGAATACTAAAAAACCAATTTTAAAAGGGGGCAATTCTAGTAAAAACCAGAATATAAAATTGTGAAGACCAAATCGCTCTGGCAGAGGTGACAGAAGCACTGCTGTTTGGCTCCGGAACTCGAGCAGCCACGACCAGTGTTCCCCAGGGCCGCCGGGGGCAGGGGGCTCGGGCGCTGCGAGGAGCCAGAGACACAGGCGGCCCGGCGAGTGCGAGGGGCTCCACTCGCCCGTCTCACCAGGCACCGAGGACGTGTGCAAACACTTGAAAATGCTTTGTGTGTTTAGAACAAGAAACTTCTGAAAACCACAGCAACACATATATGCTGTCAGCAGGCACATGCAGAACGGAAATTAGGACACGGGGCAACTGGGGCTCCAAGCTGTTGGAAGAACCATCAGTTTTCCCTCCCTGACTGATGGGACGGCCGGGTGGCTGAGGAGACATACCAGAGCAACGGAAAACTGTCGGGCACCTCACACCCTTACCCAGAGGCCAGCAGCCGAGTGCCGGCCTTGACAGTAGGTAGGCGGGTACCCGCTCAGCCCCACCTTGGCCGAGAGCTCACTCATTCTATCTGATCAGACCAAAGATACTTGAGATTCCCGTTGGAGGTCCCTTGCCCACACACTGATTTCAGAGAACGAGAGACATCAGCGGTGCTGCAGGTTTTCAGGCAGACTGAAAGGCATGTCAGCATGGCACCAGGTACATCCGTCCACTTGAGGACATGGGAGAACATGCCACTTTTACTGTAAGGTGTTAAAGATGATTGCCCGATATATAGATATGCATAGGACTTGGCACACAGGTCCTCCATAAACTATCACTGAGGCCATTCCGATAATACGTTTGCTGAGTAATATGTTCTAAAGGGTAAAAATGGGGGCTGGGGGTGGATTCCACTCTTAAGAAAAAGCATGTAAAGTCTACTCTAGCTTAATGCAGCAGTCGGATTTTTTTTTTTAAAGTTATAACAGGCTTTATGATTAATGCAGTACATTCTGGGCTTAGGAAGTAGCACATTATTAAAATGCAAAATGTGATTTTGATTAATAGAGAACCACTATCATGAGTTTAAAAGTCAAACTAAAAATGTTACTTAAAAAAAAGGGGAAAAAAATGTCTACATGATTCTATAGAAATGTACAAATCAATGTATGGGACCTTAGCAAGGAAAGTATAAAAATTGCCCGTTCTTAATAAGTAGTCTTTCGTTAACAGGAAACGGGACTCTGTTCCCCCTTAAGTGTTTGGTCCTCATAGCCTTCCGGGACAAAGTGGCCTTAACCACCGTAACAAACGCCAATTACAGTAACAATGCCGGGTCTAGGACACGCTGTCCTCATCTGTGCGGACGCATCTCCGGGGCGCTGCGCAGTGTGTGGGCACCCGGCATCCACGTGCGTCTGAAGGATCTGGGGCGCGGACAGGATCGGCTGCCCGCGCAGCACCCGACGGGCGCTCCCGGGTGTGAGTCGCCCGGAGGCTGGGCCTCCGCACCACTCAGGCCGAGCGGGCGCTTGTGGCCCGTGGAGGGGGGTGCGGGGCCAGAGTCAGTACCATGTACCTCGAGAAGCTCGTCGCCAGGATGACACCGGCTCGTAGCACACACACTGCGTGCAGCTGACCAAGCACAGCGACCTGAGATCGCATCATCCCAGCAAGTCCTCATGCTTTGTGACAAACATCCCCGCAGCGTTTCCATCCCGCGGAAGGAGACGATCCCCACCACCAAACGGGCTTTCCCCGCGCGCATGGCCTCACTGCAATTACTACAAATCACTAGCAGTCACCGAACGGATTGGGCAAAGATTAACAGCGTGTTCCTCCGAAAACAAGGACAAGAAGAAGGCTTTAAGTAGACACAGGCCGTAGAGAAGCGTTTACGCCGCACATGCTGGGGTGGGAGCACGCGGAACGGGCGTCGCGCGGGGCGGAGGCGTCACTTGGTGGCGGCGCTGTTGGGTGGAAGGAGCTTGTAGGTGTTGAAGTAGCCGACCACCTGCTGGGGCACCTCGGCCAGGACGCACTGGGCCAGCGCCTCTTTGGGAGCCTGTGGAGGAGACAGCGCGGCGACTCAGCGACCCGCCACCACCCCGCGTCCCGCAGCGGGGGCTGCCCAGGCCCAGGCCCGTGACGGGCCTTGGGGTACGGCGGGGACGCGGGGTGAGCCGAGTAAAGCCTTACTACCCGTCCAACAGGTGTCATGTTCCTTCCTGCTCTTTACCTTAAATGGGGGGGTCTTTCATTCACTCAGTATTTTTCATTTTCTTTGTTTTGAAATAATCATAGGACCACAGGAAAATTAACGAAGAGGTCCCCTGTCCCCTTCACCCAGTGTCCTCCAAAGGTGGCACCTTCTCTCAGTGCAGAACATCAAGCCAGGACACTGACACTGGAACAGGTCACAGCCCTTACTCAGATTCTGCCAGCTGCACACGCACTCGTGTGTGTGTGAGAGAGAGAGAGAGAGAGAGAGAGAGAGAGAGAGAGAGAGAGAGAGAGAGTGTCTGTGTAACTCCATCATCTGGGTACACCTGTGTACCCACCACCACCATCGAGATGCACAACTGTCTCATCGCCACAAACACCCCTAAGTTACCGCTTCTTAACCCCACCCCTCCCCAGCCCTCCTCCATCGCGATGGGATGGAAAATGGCAGTGCCACTCTGGAGAAGTGCAACAGTTTCTTTAATAATTAAACAGGCAACAGTCATACGACCCAGAGCTGCACTTCTGGTACTTATCCCTGAGAAACACAGCTTACATTCACACACAAACCTGTGCATGATATGAACAGCAGCTTTGTGTGTGACAGAAACCGGAAACCGCTGGGGATGCCCTGCAAACAGACTGCAGTGCCTGAGCGTGGACCAGTGCTCAGCGATACAAAGGCGCACATGCAGCCGCCTGGGTGACTGTCCAGACGTACGTGAGTGCAGGAGCCAATCCCAAGGGCTCCATACTGTGTGACACCCCTTCTCTACTATTCTTGAGATGACATTAGAGACATGGAGGACAGATTAATGGTTATAGTTAGGGGTTAATGAGAGGATGAAGGTGGGACAGAAGCAGCGTGGCTAGGAAAGGGCGACATGGGGGATCATGTGATGAGGGACCCTGATTGTCAGTGTCAGCGTCCTGGTGTGATGCTGTGCCAGTTTTACAAGATGTCACCATTGGAGTAAACTGGGTAAAACAGTCTCCTAAGAGATTATAATCAAATCAGCTTCCAGTTTGGTGAATTCACCATGTACCTGTATAGTTTTTGTTGTCACACAGGTAAAGATGATATATGTTTTAAGACGTTCACAACTGGTTTAGCAGCTTATCACACAGGCTGCGAGAGGCACACACGTACTCAGCCTGACGCAAAACCGCCCAGTCTAACCAGGGCTCTTCAAATGGAAACCTGCCCGCCTGCTGCCCCCGATGCCACTCAGCTCCTTGGTTGTGGACTGGCCACCCCGTAGCGCGCCCCAGGCCCAGCAGCCGTGGTACTCACGTTCTGGAACTGTCTGAAGGGCACGAACTGGACGATGTCTCGGATGGCCGCCTCGCCCGACGGGGCGCGCAGAGTCCCACCGTCACAGTCGAGAAACTCCATGGCACCGAAGTCAGCGCCCCCCACCCCAACGATGATGACGGACATGGGCAGTTTGGCGGCATTGACCAGCGCCTGTCTGGTCTCATCCAGGTCTGTGATCACACCGTCGGTGATGATGAGGAGTATGAAATATTGCTGCCGAGAAAGAGAAGGGCACCCGCTGAGCAGGTGGAACTGCCAGCAGTAAAGCGAGGCGGAGGACCCTCCAGCTCAGGGGGCGGCTAGCCTTTCGCTCATTTTCCTCAGCAGTCTCGGCCCGGGATACCCTCCACTTACAATATTCTAAGATTGTCTGATGACAAGGACATCTCCTGATAGAAAAGCTGCAGGCTCTTTAAAGTGCAACAGACCGCAAAATAGGGTTGGCCTAAATCCACGGCATCAAGAGGAAACGTCAAAGATTAAACTTTTTGTAAACATAGGCATAAACACGTTGATTTAACTGCAATATTAAATATGTCGAAGTCATAATAAAGGGAGCAAGTGGATACTCCATGAAAGGTTAAATATGGAAGAAGGAGAATTGCTTTTCAAACTAAAATACACTTTTAAAATAAATGCCTATGGTTTGGCGGGAGGTAGGGGTCTTTCTCATTTCTGTCATCTCTGATAAACGTTTTTAGAGAGTGATAAAATGTCACATGAAGTTGTGACTCCATCTTTGGGTCATTTGGGTGTAGGATGGGAATGAGGTTTGTCACAGAGCTGGCGTGCTGAGTGTGTGCTCGGGCCCAAGCCCCGTGCACGCACAGGCGTCACCGTGTTTCACTCCTTGAGCGGCTGTCTGATGTCGTTACTCCTGCCTGCCTCCTGAGGGTGCTGCAGCTAAGACAGCTTGGGCGCCCGAGGTGATGGGTGTCTAATTCAAACCTTCTTAGTACAGGAAGTAATTCTGCAACAGCAGCTGGCATGGTAAGTCTCTTCAAGCCTTAATTTGTTAAGTCTGCCCCCCAAAAAGTGGACAACAGCCATTTTTGGGGGGGGGGGGGTAGAACTTACCTAAAAACTTAATTCAAAAGACAGAGAAGAGACTCACAGGTGTAAGGGCTGTTTTGCTCTCGTCTTGTTCTTAATGATCACTAATTCAACAACAGCAGACGTTACTCCCACACCAAGGACGACCGCCATCACTTCACACTCTGTTTCTGTGTCTCGACAGAGCAAACCCACAGGAACGTGGCACTGGCAGCCAGACCCCCATCCCGCCCCCGGCAACAGAGCACTCACAGAAGCGGTCCGCTGCTGAGTGGCTGCAGCCGCAAACCTGGCCACATGATTGATGATGGGAGAAAAGTTGGTCGGTCCGTAGAGTTTGACCTGAGGAAGGCAGGCCCGGTACGCCTCCACGATGCCCTGGATTCCTAGAGGAAACAAGCCACACTCAGATTCCCGGGCGCAGCGCGACTGCTCATCATCCCCACGCAGCTACTTTCTCACACATACGTGTCCACATGCAGTGCCTTCAACAGTCCAAGGTGCACATTCAGGAGTTTCTCTGAGCTGTGAGTGGGCCACAAAACTCCACAGCTGGGCTCCACCCCGAACCTGTGAACGCTACCTTCCCCCAGAAGGCATTTAGCTTCATCTCAGCTAAATGATTCATTAACCTACAGTAGGATTATGATAATGCTTAATTTTGATGTGTTTTAGGAATGAGACTCCGATGGAAAAAGAACCATGAAAAGAGGCTGCATCATACAACTGACGTCAAGAGGTAAGAAAAAGTTACTGATTAAATGGGGAAATGTTTGCATCTGTGTCCAGAGGCTGCAGAGGTGCCAGCTGGCTGTGAACCTACTGCTGACTCGAGTCGAGGGTTTGCTCAGTGACTCAGAGGTTGGCGTGGTTGTGGGCTGCCGTCCATGTTTGCTTCCGACTCCTGTACCGGTTCTGTACCACGGGCGGGTTTCTGGGCCCCGCCCAGGCCGACTGGGTATTCAGCACAGGAGCCTGGGCAGGGCCCCCTGACTAGCTCTGACCACCGCACGTAAATGGACATGACACCACATCTAGCTGAGCCACTGCCTGTTGCCACCAGCAACCTTGCTCTCCCTGTGTGGTGGGAGCAGCACAGCCCGACAGCAGCTGCTGCCCTAGCCTGAGTCCAGATGGAGAGGAAACAGCAGCGCTGCGCCCAGCCACAGGAAGTGATATGCAAAGCAGGCAGCTGGGCTGGCGGCCTGTCCTAACAGCATAGCTGGTGAAAGTCAAACAACATTCCTGGAGCCAGCACGGGGACAAAGCTTTAGTGCCACATGTGCAGCTGCTGAACCTGCCCCACATTAGACGCCCCAGTGGGTGGGTGGGTGCTGGGAGTCCTCCAGAAATCCCGCGGTACGCTGAGATCAAGGAGGCCTGCCGCCAGAGATGGTTAATGGAAACCCAACGGGCTTCCTGCTTAAAGATGGCCAACAGAATGGAGATCAGCATGGAGGACAAGCATGTACTTGGTTTCAAAGCTTCACAGACGGTCTCCTCCTCAAATTGCAGAGTTCCCATAAAGTCCTCTTGTTACTTTGAACTTAGGAATAAGCAGTCTCGTGACCAACCTTGGTGAATGGAACAGTCACACCTGGGGGTGATTTTACATCACGAGGTGAAGCTATGACTAGTGGTCAGTCAGTCCAGTAGTAACAGAAATAGCATCAGCGTAGGCCAGCAGTGGGATCTTACCACAACGATACACGCTGCAGAAAAACTGAGTGTAACCGCAGCAAGAATATTTCCTCCCATGTCTGTCACCTTAGCTTGCTTTTCAATTTGAAGGTGTACAACCTATGAATTCAATTTCTTCACAAGTAGCAACTACCTTCAGTTCCTCTACTAAAACAGAATTACACCAAAATTCTTTGCATTACAGGAACAAATGAAACATGTTTCTGGGCAAATAAATCAGTGATTGATCATAAAAAAGGGATTCCATTTCCTGGCCCTCACATGGGCTGTATTTTTTCTGTACAGTATCTCTTTTGTTTAAAATCAAACGGATTCTTTTTTTCCAGACTATAAACCAAAAGTAGGAAAGCTGCACTTGTTGGCAGCCCAAAGATGGGCCCATATCATCAGAGTAAATGAACTTCTAAAATGAATTATCATATGATATGTCATCCATATTCACTGGCAATAAATGACACCTAATTACAAATTCCAAAAATTGTTCCAGCGTCATAAGCACAAAACACATTTCTTGAAAAGAGTAATATTCCCAGTTTCAAATGGGTCCAGATAAAAAAAAGGTCACAGCCAGCCACTGGAAGAACACTGAAGGAACACTGCACCGTGATACCAAGTCTCCCAGCAGAATGTCCGTGTCGCTGCCTTTTGGATGTTGTTTAGGACGAGGAGCGGGCGGCCCCTCTGTTAGAAACGACGCGTGCGGTCACTGCCAGGGCCTTTGGCGGGGAATTGGCCGTCTGTCTGCAGCGGTAAGCCGCTGCCCCACCTCCCCTTCCTCCTCCAAGTTTATAAACTTTGTAGAGATTCGGCATTTTTGGTTAATTGCTCAAGGGGGTAAAAAGGAGGAAGCACTTGCATATTTGAAAAATATAAGGAAAAAAAATGGAACACAATGCAGGCCTTCTGCCTCCTACACAGAGGAAGGCTGCTACTGGACTGTGACACTTTGCGCCTTGAGCCTGGCCCACCTGCTACGGAAGACGTTTGGGTGACAAGGAATTTGATTCCAGACACCTCCTTGTACAGAGTGACTGCCACTCTGAGAAGAGTGTCAGAGATCCGTATACCGAATTACTCATTTCACTGAAGGTTCATTTTAAAATCAGCTTATAGGCGAAAACACTATGGCTGTTTTTTAACAATCTGTTCTCAAGACTGAGCATTCTTCTGCTGTCAGACCTCGTAAGGGGGAGGAGCCTGGCCTGCAGGCCTCATCCCCAGTTATGTCACTTATGTCACCACTCTAACCCCCAGCCGGTGCAGCTCTGCTCCCTCCGGCAGAAGGGAAATACAAGACACCCAGAGCCGGAACTGAGTAGCTTTAAATCACAAGAAGAAAGCGAGTAACAAACGCCGGTGAGGCTTTCAGTGTACACTCTCCGTGGGTGTTTTTAACTCACCATTACAGAAGGGGTTGGATGGATCAAAGTTCATGGGGAATTCATGCGAAACCTGAAAAAAGCAGAGAGCACTGAAGAGGCTGGTTGTGCTTTTCTAGGAGGCAAATCTAAAAATGGGATTTCCTCTTACCTGCCACTGAGGAGGTATCTGAGCGCCGAAACCAAAAGCTGGAAACATCTTATCGCTAAGAAGAAAATTTGAAATAAGTAAAAGATTGTTTTTTCAAAATAGAAAGAGTTTTATCTTTACTCATAATGAAACCAATACAAGCTTATTTTTTAAATTTAAAATCTTTAAAAAAATATAGAGATAAAACAAAGATTACCCGTAATAACTGCCAGAGGGGAAAAAAATGTTAATATTTGGCAATTCTTATTCCAAATATTTTATGTACATTGAGGGAGAAAAATGTCTCCATACATATTTATAAAAATGGAGTTTATAATCATATTTTATAACATGTCCTTTTCCACTTAAATACTGTATATTATTGCATTGAACAAATATGTTGATAAATCCATTAAGCCCTAAAGACCACAGGGTTTTTCACTGGTTAACTACAAACTCATGTGGCAGTAAAACGTGAGCTCAGCTGATCTGAGGTTATTTATAGCCTTCATTCTCACCACATAATATGACAATTCATACACTTAGACACAGAAATATGGTCAAATGCCACATAAAACTCTCACGTTTCTGCAGCAAAATGTACGAGTATCTGCCCCAGCGGTTTAGGGATGAGGAAGTATGGACCTAAACACACAGCACTTGTGAATGGCGGGTGCTGAGTGTCCCTATGCATGGACACTGTCCCCATCTGACAGACCCCCAGTGTCCTGCCCCACGCCACTGGGACGAATATGCTAACTTTTCTACTAGGGATACTCTTTTTTTATATTAATTCTTACTGGTCCTTTTTGCATTGAGGATAGAACCTATGTCATATATGTCCAAAATATTTTTCCCTATTTATAATCTGTCTTTCACTTTATTTAAAATATCTTTCCTTTGATAGTTTTAACATTAATGGGAATGAATAACCATTCTTTCGTCCCCTCTGCATCTTACTCAAAGGGCTTGCTCACTGCGGTACTGTGAACAATTCACAGAACGTTCGAGGCTTGCTTTTGATATGAAATGCCTGATTCACCTGAACGTTCTGGAGGACGGTATGAAGCAGAAAACGCCACTCTCCCCGGATACCCATTCTCTCCCTCCAGTAACAGGACACCGGCCACGGGCCACACAGCTCCACCCCTGCTCCTCTGGGCTGCACGCAGCCCAGTGGTCAGGGGCTGGCCAGGGAGGTGTGAGCAGAAGCGACTTGTGCCCCCCACGCACCGCGGCCCCCTCTCCTGTCCTGCTGCTGGACAAGATGAATCACAGCAGCTCCCAGGGGTGGGACTACAGGTTGACAATGGCAAAAGCGCCCTATCAGTCCTCAACTACTCACCTCTGCACATGTACCATGAAAGAGAGAGAAACCTCTATTCTGTGAAAACCACTTTGGTTCTGGGTGTCCACTCAGCAGTTTTGTCTGAGTGTGGACAGAACGGCATCCTAACCTACAGGTATGAGTCAGGAATCCAAACTCAGGTCCTGTCCAGTCTGACAGGTGTTCCCACCCTTTCCCCCCAAACGCCATCTCTCTCAGTGACTAACGTCACACACACACGGGTCTATTTCTAGATGTCTCATCTTGTCCCACTGGTCATGTACTAGTTTCATAATTTTAACTAATATAGCTTTCAAATGTTTTAATATCTGCTAGAACAAATTCCCGTTTCCTTGTTTCCTGAAAATAAAAACTGGCTATTCTGATTCATTTTCACGTCTAGAACATTTTAAGAATCATTTCGTCAGGCTTCCATTGCATTTTTGATAAAAATTTATTAATTTAGGGGGAAGTTTTCTATCCTACATCATTATGACATCTGTCTATCTAAAACTGTGGTATATCTTTCCATTTAAGCAAGTTTCCTTCTTCGCCCCTGGGTACAATCCTGCAGTTTTCCTCCCTAAAGCTCCCAGACCTCTACCTGAATCCACTCTCAGTCTACTGCATCATGAGTTGTGAGCTTTTTCCCTAACTCCTTGAATCGGCGACTGCTGGTCAGTGAGACATGGCGGATCTTTAATTTTCTGTTGCATCTGACCACCTCTCTGCACGCTCACTCCTTGACAGCACGCAATGCTGACTTGGCGTGGACCCGTTCCTCACAGGCCCGCTGGAATTCGCCCGGAAGCTGTTTCACCCTCTGCCTGTGAGGGGTGGCTGTCCCATTCCGCCCGTGGTCCCTGCTCTGTTCCAGTTTTCTGCCTCTGAGTCAACTTTGGTAAGTCAAAGCTTCCTGAAAAGTCATCCTGTACTGCAGATTTTCCAATGCGACAGCATCAAGTTGTGTAGAGTATTAACTTAGGATTTTTAATGTTTTTTTCCTGATTTATGCTTATAATCTCTATCTCATTACTAATACTGTATACATATTTTCTCTTTCAAGGGGGTCAGTGTTGACAAAGATTTCTCTCAGTTTTGTTGAACTTGCAAAAAATCATCTCTTCACTTAATAATTTGTTGGGTTTTTAAAAAAACTTTGTGTTAAAGGAAGTACAGCGTGGTTCAGCTTTGAGCGCGTGTCTGGAGCCACACAGCCCAAGCTCACTCGGTCTCTGTCAGTAACCAGAGAGTGACCCTGGACAAGTGACGTGACCCCATGCCTCAGGTTCCCTGTCCAGTGCAGAGGTGACAGTGCCCGCCTCACAGCGAGCATGAGGACTAGCTGAACACTGTGTGCGAAGTACTTTAAATTGTCCCTGACACCTAGCAGCTAACATGCATGTGGAATCTACTACGATTAGGTCTTTATTTTTTCTTCCTAGTCTTTAATTTTATTTTATTGAAAAGCTCATTCATTTATTCTTCTTGTTTAAGAATAAAAGCACATAAAGCCAGAAATTCTCCTCTATAAAGATAGCACCACTAGTCTTCTCATTACCTTTTACTTCTAGAAAGTCTATTATTACACTTCAATTTTCTCTTTGATCTAAGAGCCACTTAAATTTGTTTTTTTATTTCCATATGGTAAATTTTCTTTAGTTGTCCTTTTGTTATTAACTTCTAGGAGGCAGTTTGAGAGAGCAAACCTCTAAACGTTTTACTCTTTATATGAGCCCCATTATAACTGTGTTACTTTGAAATTTTTATTATATTTCTAGCTATTTTTAATGGAAATACTTTGACACTGTTATGAAACATGTCTGGTTATTTTTCATATTGGATTATATAACAGAGTGTTCTACAAAGTAATTTTTTATTATATTTACTGTGTTTTGCCTTAAATTCTATTAACGCTGATATTGGAATTGCCGCGTTTGCTTTAGATTTCATTGCATTTGCCTAAAAATTTCACCTCTTTAAATGTCATAACAGATTAATGAAAAGCTCCATCAGTATGTAAGGGCTTTTATCATAAAATAATAGGTAAAAACAAGTAAAATTTTAGATTGTGCCCTAACAGATCCAGAACAAAAAAATTACAAATGCAGATTTTTTTTTCTATTATTTAGTAAATCTTCAAAAGGACCTATTTAAATCTATTCAAAATCTATCCATTGAGAATTGATTCAAAATATTTTGCAGCAATTAGGTCACGTTATCCTTAGACACTTGTTCAAAGCCACCATTAAGAAAATAATTTGACAATGACTGCCAAGGAAATAGATATGTTAAGAAATAGTGTCTATGAGTGTTTACAGAAAGTATCACCTGGACTTCAGTCTCACGGATAACATTTCCTAATGAGTAAACCCCAAGGAAACTAGATCAAAGAAACAAGAGCAACTTGTACGTAGTACACCGTACGTGACCACAGACCATGATTACAGGTCGAAGGTAAACACCAGGACTGCCACAAAGAGACAAAAGGACAAGGTAAGATGAGAGACATTTCAAGGAGAAAGTTACTACCCCACCTGCTCTACGAGAGGTCGAGCAGGTGGGACAGAAACTGCCCTTTCGGGGAGTGAGGAGAAGCCATACTCACGCGTCATAATCCTGAATGACGAGGCCCACAGACCAGATGGCCGTCAGGTACTCATTCACACCGTTGGGGCTGATGTAATGCAGGGAGTCGGGAGACCGGGGGTCTCCATTGGAGCCGGTGAAGTCCACCCCAACCTGCAAGGACAACGAGAGCCGTCACTGGGGAAGGTGGGACACCTGTGCTGACGTCCAGAACGTCAGATGAGTCGTAGATGTCCAGCCCCCTCTGCTTCCTAACAAATGCCTGAGACACAGGTATCTCCACCCTCTAACAACTGAAGCCTCAGCAGCCAACAGGCAGCTGTTCCTATTTCCTAGGTGCCTTCGATCATGAATTATTACACCCGTGACTTTAGACATAGGGCTGGTTTCTGTACGTCTGGCACTTAGTATTTAAATTGCTGCATGGTAATCGCTGGGTTGTACATATCTGCTTTCTGTCCCAAGAAACAGATCTTATCAGCAAAGCTGAAAGCTTCGTGATGCACCTGGACCACATGTGTAAGGACACCATACTAAACAGAGTCTGTAAATTTCTTCACAAAGTCAGTTTTACAGGAAAAGGAAGAACACTGAAAATGGAAGAAAAAAAGTAACATGTTACAGCCTACTTTGAAAAATTCAGCGAGTTACTTACAGTAAAATTCAGCTGACATCCTCCCATGATATAGTCCAGGAATGTGCACTCCACTGTGATCTAAAGAGAGACAGCAGCTGTCAGAATCAGGCTGTTCAACGCACAAGGCAGACGGAGAGCTCTGCGGCAAACGCTTTACAGTTTATAAACCGAACAGAACATGATACACACACGGAAACCACCCTGCGCTTGCGTGGAAGACCCCGCCCCACATGTCACGAATCTGGAAGATTTTACCTCGCGATAATTACAGCAATGTTCAGATTAAAATATTAAGGACCAAAGAGGAGATACACTCAAGTTTAAGTTTTAAGAAACTAACAATGAGTCTATTATGTTGAGAGCTTTAATAAGCATCATGAACAAGATTTTTTAAAAACCCGCTTGTCAGTTGTAAGAAACCTCTTGGGTGTTTCCTTCCACTGTCACAGCATCGTTTCAACGGACGCACTGGGAAAAGTCCTCAGTGTCTCCCATTTCATAAGATGTTGGAAAACTGTAACATGCTTTGCTTTTGCTAAAACACTGTCATACCTTGGAAGTTACTTAAAAGATTTCTTTACTGTTTCCTACTCTCTTCTTTTCCCTAAAATGCCCAGATGCTTATATAATTTTCAACTGCCCAAAATTCAAGTGTTAGTTTGATATAAAACATCGATAGAAGAATCGATGATCTCATGACGCTAAAAGTGGTCCAGAGCACTAACCTCACAGTGTTTCACACTGATGACCCCTGAATTCTTGTAGCTTTTCTTCTTTTGTCTCTTTTTCTCATTTATGCATTCAAATTCAATCTGTGGGAAGAAGAGCCAAATTTTAATTCTCACTACCGATATTAGAAATGCCAATGTGAATTTAAACGGATGACCTTTCTCTTGGAATCAAACCACCTACTAATATAGATCTGTTGCAAAATACAACTCTGAAACAATGCCACAATACATTAAGCTCGTGAAATATTTATCAGTGAAATTCCCAAAAGGCACTTCTAAATTACATATCTTTTAAAATAGTTCCTGAGTATACATTTCCTTCAAAATGCTCCAAGTAATAATCTTCCTTCCTTACAATAAAGGAAATAAATGAAATATTACTTCTGGTTGTTACCGTCACAAAGAACAAAACTATGCTGCTTAGAAAAGAAGGAAAAAACCTACCATCAGAAAATAGAAGTACATGAAGCCCTTTCCACTGGGAATACGTGTTAGAAATAGATTCATGTTTGCCTCAGGATCGTTCCTGCCCAGACAGCCTGGTCCTGCCCATACCTGTCATTCCTACCCACCTGTCATCCGTAAGGCTTGGCTCAAGTCATCCTGCTCTGTAACATCGACTACGGTTCTGCTCTTCTCTGATCTCCACCCACCTCCTTAAACTTCTTCACCATATAAAACTTAGTGACATGCTTTGTATTGTCCTCAGGTGTTTCATTTCATTAATTGTTTCTCATAGCTAGGGTATAATGACCCCAAGTTATACCATCAAACTCTCACTGTCTTACCTAATCATTAGAACATAATGGATACTCATTGTATACAGAGGAGTTGCCTCTTCTGGTAAATAGAGAGCAACTAATGTACCCTAGACAGAGTCATTAAAACCTTCTAAGGCTCAAACATGAAAAAGTACATTTGCTACAATGATACAAAACAAAATGAAGTTAAAGTCCGTGCTGGTCCAGGATCCTGCCAGTCTCAGCCATCTCCCTAAATACTAATGAGTGGCTGTGTGGGATGCAGAGCGGCCCCAGTGGCGTTACCCCCTCATGAGCTCACACTGCTGCAGAGCACCCCTAGCGGCAGGAGCCGGGCTAGGCACCGGGCCGGAGATGCTGGGACCCAGCCCTGCCTCCGAAGAACAGGGCCGGGCAGGCCCTGTCACCACAGCAACATTAGAAGCCTTCCTGTCACAAGTGAGCTGGACTGAGGGAGCCTTGGCATGGCCATCAGTACTGTACAGTTAGCGGTTAGTTCACTGTCTTCTAAAAGCAACTCACTGACGCACTCTGAAAAATAACAACAGACTGAAGCCAGGGAAGCAACAATCCAGACCACTCCATACAGTTAGGTCCTTTCGGCAGCCTGCTTTCGTTTAAGTGTTCACGTTTCACCATTTTCCATTAGTTCTGCCTTAAAAAAACAATCTTAAAATGGAATATTCATAGCCGAACTTTGCTGTTGTTTTAAGTGACAGACTGTTAACTCCAAGCATTTAAACCTAGGTGGGGTTTGAAAAGCCTCACCTACATCCCACCAGCATCTCTGTCTAGGCGGCTTCTGGACAGAGAGGGGCTTCATGACCATGGAACAGGGGCAGACTGGACATCTCCACGTGACCCACTGAAAATTACAGTCCCTCTGTTGGTTTAAAACTCATGTCTCCCAATCAGTTAAACCGAATGGCTCATAAGTTTTATTTATTCATTTAGGTTTTCAGTTTTGATCTAAAACCATCAGCATCTTCTTTTAGGTCATCTCGCCTACATGATGAGGCAAAACAGACCCGTCTCACCCGACCATGACTTCCTACCTCTGAAACTCCATGGCTGTATTTTCAAAACTAAATGCTATATGTATGAGCATTATTCTGTCTTCAAGCAGCTAATAAACACTCCTATTATTCTAAGCCAGCTATAACGGGGGTTAACAACTGATCTCATTCAAACTATATAGAAAGGTAAATAGCGCGGATGCAATTTAAAGTTGTACTTATAAAACGCTCTGGCACGGTTTTTAGCCACGTTGGCTCAGACAGAACAGTCTCAGAGGCACTCTTAGAAATATGCTGGGATGCTAAGTAATGAACTGAATGTAGTGAAGGCTGACCAATGATCCTACCAAAATCAGTGCCGTTAGACGGCAGCCTCGTAGTCCCTAATCTGAAGGACACGTGGGAGAGGAGAGTCGGGCTGGGCGTAGGAGCATGTCCAGGTCAAACCCAGGTACTGGGCCAGTGCTATGGATAGCAAGTACTGTGACCAATGAAATGCCAAACACTTTAAAACTAAGGATTTTCAATCAAACCATCTATGTTGTCTGTAGCCAAGACAACCAGACCGCTAAATATTAATGCAAACTCACACCCCAGTACGAATTTTGGATCATCTGATTGCTAAACACATAAATCCACAGGTTTCCAAGCATTCTGTAGTGTAGAGTGAGAACATGGTGAACTGTCTGCTATACCAAGGGGAAAATGGAAGTAACGGCGACAAGGCCAAAGTGCTAGGTATATTCTGACCACAAGGAGGCAGCTTACCGGCGAGTTCCTGGAGGCTTCTTTCAGTTTGGTCATGGTGGTTTGAAATGTTCCGATGAGATCATGTGATCCATCATTATCATAATCATAGCACTCTACCTAGAATTTAGTATAACAAAAATATATAAAAATCAACATACGTGTGTTAGAAAGGACTTACCAAGAAGCGCCCTTCTAATTAAAATAAATGAAAACATTTATTATGCAGTCCTACTTGGAGAAGGAGCTACTTCCCGGAGAAGCAATGCTGAAACCCTCAAACTCCAGCTATCCTTGGGATGGGTTCTAGGATCACAGGCAGAGGAAAAACAAATACTGTTCAATTCCACTTTAAGCACTTTCCAGTTCGTCTATCATGCCCACTGCAAAGGCGGATGAAATCAAAGTGGAATGACACCTCTTTCTCACCCACTTCTTTACCCTGTTACGCCTGCCCAGTGGCCAAAAGCCATTACCTGGAGGAAGAAAGGAAGTCAGTTTCCAAGGCAGCTAAAACATGCACAATTAAATTCCAGATGAGTTAGAATTATGGAAACTGTATTCCATTCCTGCATCTGGAAAGGCAGGTCAGATCTGCAGCTCTGAGGGTCACAGCCCTGCAGTGAACAGGAAAATTCCAGGACGAGGGCGCCCACTGAGAGTTACTCTGTCCACGCGAGACAGATGAAGTCTGGCCTTCACTACGGCTCTCATTAATTTCGCCTCTTTCTTACAGCAGACAGAACACAGCCGAGACAGTATGGTTTGCATGCAGTTTGGTGCCAGGTGGACAGATGTAGCTGAAGAGTAAATATTCATGAGATACCTGAATATCTGTCACAACAAGAAATTCAAGGTGGGATGAACTACGAGCGAGCAGAGGTGCTCACGGAGCTCGCTGCGTAACCAACGTTTTCATGGAGCTTTAGGATTCCAAAACGTTGTTTCAGGCCCGCAAACATCTACTGTGCGCACGGCACACATGACCTAGTTGGGCTTGGGCAGCAGGCAGAGAATTCGATGGTCTGGGAAGATGACATGTCATGTGTGGTAACCCACATAGGGGAACGCTGTGCTAAGGCCACTTGAATCTTAGCGGCTGCGATTGAGAATACACGCCTGTGACGCAGAAGTGTTTCCCCTGGCAGCCCTCCGTCCTGCGTTATCCTCTACAGAGTCATACAAATCTCATAAATGTCACCACAAATGTCAGGATTTACATATGCTCACCTGCAAGGTGACTCCTCTCTTCTCAGTTCTATGAGAAGTGAAATGGGCGCTTTAATAACAGGAAGTCTTTCATCCCATATTCTAGTTCCATTTTTATTCAGGAAGACTAAACACCAATCAATTAATAAAAACAAACAAGGTCTAGAATTGCAATTTGGAGTAACTGTTAAAGAGTTTTTATTTGTTGCACGCACTTTGGTCACTGAGCAGTTCAGACGGCTTGACTCTTGCCCTATGCAAGTATTTTTGACGCTCAATTTTTAAGCCCAAAGCTCTTTTTCTGATTCTAGTTTGTCAGGGGAAAGAAAATTAATGATTTTAATAATTTTTTTTTCCTAAAAGAACTAAAACTAAGAAAAAGTAAAAAACAATCTTAATATTTTAATAATTTTATTTTTAATAGGTTTTTTTTAAATTATGGACAACAGAGCTTTATATTTTAGACTTGCATTCAGGAAACCACAATATATACCTATGACAAGACCAAGCTTTGATAATGCCAAGATTTTATTTAAACTCAGCCTGTGAAGCGCTAACGCTGTTCGTGTTTAGTCTGCCTGAAACTTCAGGGAATGTAAAAATATTTTTCAACTGTAATTTCGGATAACTCACTGTAATAAATATGTAGAAAAGCTCACTGTTGCCCCGTTGCAGGCCAATGTTTGGTGCTAAAGAAAAATGTGGCATTTATAATGCTGGTGCATGTGGACAGAAGATGATGTCATGATTTGTCATTTCATTTCTCAAGAATTCAAAAACCCATACTGTTGTCTGTTCTAAACAACAGTCTCAGTGGTGCTTGTGAAATTGAAATATATGCATATGTACATCTGTGCATATGTATATATGTAAAGAATGCACACACCACACAACACTACACTCGCTAAGGCATTCCCACATGGCGGCATGCGTGATGATCTCTCTTACTCGTTTGGCCTTGTGAAAATAATAATTCATGCTAGACGGATGACACGGGCACACTCACACCGCAGCAAAGAGGTTCCTGGGACTCTAACCCTCTCCTCTGCTCCCTAACTCTACTTCAACCTCCAAGCAGTTTCCGAACATGTGACTTTCTGATACTGCAGAGAAATAAAGAGCTAAAGAAATAATGAGTGATGATGTGGCAAACCAAGTCACGTGTCATCAAAGCAAACTGAAGAACTTTAAGAATGGAAAACACTCATCAGAGGAAACTCAGAAAATCAGTTTACTTACTCTAATAAAATAGCCCTGTACGCAAGCCACTGTGTGCAGAAAAAGTTTAAAAAACATTGTTTCATTGTTAACATATTACAAACAGTCAAATAGTTTGGATTTAGGCATATTTTTCCCAGCTTTTTTTGCTTCTCAGATCTAATGAAGTTTCAACTTACTATTTTTAATGTGAAAAGCAAAAGCTCTAGATTTAGTATAACAATAAAAAGTAATTTTTTTTAATTTTTATGCGATTATTTGAGGCAAACTGATGACTTGCTCCTGAAGTCAATCTTTAGAGCCAGTTTTCCACTATTATTTTGTACTATACATGCCTCTGTGGTATTTGGATTATTTCAAGCTAAAGGCAACTGGGACACTGCAGGCTCAAGAGAAACTTCTGTTCCCCCCTGAACTAGCTAGAAGAATTTAAATGAGGAGCCTGGCCCACAATAAGAGTTATCACTAGACAGGCTTTACCGGCCTGCATGGCAGGGCAGCCTGATAATGACGGAGCACGTGCTCTCCCCGCAGTGACCTGCAGCCCAGGCGCCTGGCCTCCCCCTCCCTCTGAAAGCCTTCTAGACCTCAACTTCCCTCTCTGTCTCTGAACCGCTCATGTATGATGAGTTCCCATACTTATGTGTGAAACTACATTTGGTCACTTTCTCTAGCAAATTTGTATCCTGTCTATTTGATCATTAGAGCCTCTGAAAGAACCATGAGGGTGCGGGAAAGTGTCTTCCTCCCCGACAGTACCTAGATTTTCACTGCTGCTGGAACTATCACGCAAATCATACTTGTATTGATGGTTACAGGACAAATTTTTATGGATCTAAGAAACGAAGCAGTTTTCTGTAATAACAGCATCTGTACTGGGTTCAACAGTTTACAAAACTTTCACTTTCATTAATGTAATCCTCAGTTTTTTTATAGTGTAGACCTTACTTTCTCTAATATATACACATAAGTAAAAAAGTAGATAACCCACCCAAGATCCCTTAGCTGCTTAAAGGGCTAAATCAAGACTTGGCACGTGGTCTGATTCTAAATCCTATGCTTGTCCTTTGCCATCACCATATTCATTACAAAAAAAAAGCTCTGGGTTCTTAAAAGTAACATCTGTTTTTATCTGCAAAGGACACACCAAAGGCAAAGAGGGTAGTTAAAGATTCCTATTCGTAGAGCAAAGGGACCTTGTTAAAAGGAAAAAAAGATTTGAATTGGAATTTTATTTTAAAAAATGAAAAATAAAATAAAAATCACAATGTTTGGTTCAGCATTAGGTAAAAAAATTAGTCAAACATGTCAACCCTTCAAACTATTTTCCTACCGGAGACATTTCCGTTAGTATTCCTAAATATGAGTCCTACAGTCTCTGTTGTATCATTTACTTTCTTTAAATACTAATCAATTGTACAAAAGAGGCGAGTATGTGTGTATGTATAATTTCAAATTACCTTAATAGTTTTGTCCATATCTCCATAGCACAGGGAGTTAAGCGAGATTTTAAAAGGCCTCCAAACAGGATTCAGGTTGTTTTTAATAACCTAGAAAAATGGAGATTCAGAGATTCAGAGTTAGAAAAACATTCAGTTCAGTAACATTTTGCTCCTGCCTTTCCTAGATTCTTGCTACACTCTCGCCAACCATCCTTCATGTCTGTGACCAGTCAACTTTTTCCCTGAAAAACGAGCTAGACAGTATCGTACAACTGTGATGTGAAAACTGTGATAGGTTGTCCCCATTCTGAGGAACGTGAAAACTGGGAAATGCAGCACCCATGGCAGGGTAGCCCTGGGAGGCACACAGTACTGACTGTGCTGGGCCTTCCATTCAGGACACAGCAGGTTCAAATGTGGGGTAAGGAAGGCTGAGACAGAACCGTGCTGGCTGCATCTGAACAGAAGAGACAGTTCTGGTTTATACTTTAAAGGGTTTCAGTACATATGCAGACATAATAAGCAGATAGAAGCAGAGACATGTGTCCCAGCTGAGTCCATTGAAAAGGCCTAAATGCAGCGACATCCCAGCAGCACGAGGACAGCTGGCACTCAGGTCTGGAGTCTGAATACTGCCACCCTCTGAAGGATGGGGTGCTTCCGGGAAGGCTCATTCCAGACCCAGGGCAGGGTGAGGTCAAGGGCAGCTGAGACTCTGCTGTACCATAAAATAATGACGTCATGAATTCTAACATAATGAACACACTGTGTTATAACAATCCATGTGTCTACGATGACACCAAAACAAAGAAGAGGATGTGGAAGGGGAGTATCTGCTAATCCATGTAAAGGGATGAAAGATGTAGGAAAAAATCACCATCTTATAACGCCCAATATAACCACTGATTCTGGTATGGATCATCAATGGATGCTAAAGCACAGGGTGAAATGCTGGAGAATAGGGTGTTCACGCAGCCTCCAAGTATCACAGCACGGACCACTTATTATCTGCGAAGGGGAAACGGGACGTTCTCACGGAAGATGTGGCGGTCACCAGCATAACCACGTAGCCAAGGCTGGCATCATCAGTCCTGGGCAGCGGGACACCGTGGGCACGCACGCACACAGTGTTCTTCGTGACAATGTCTGGTCTGGATCGAATTGTCAGGAAACAGAGTCCAGAATGCCACACACACTGGTCGTGATGACTCAGGAGAGGACCATAGCAGCAAATGCACAGTGTGAACCCTAAGTGATCCTGGACATGTAAAACGTGGGGACACTGGGGAAAGCTGAAGGCGAAGGGACATCGGGTAATGTTACTGAGTCAGTGTTACTCCTTTCAGGTGGGGCGATGCAGAGAGAGACACCTGCCGCGCTGTGTAAAGGTGAACAGTCCTGATGTCTGCAGCTCACATTAGGACGGCTTTGCACAAGGGAAGTATGTGCGCGCGTGCGTGAGAGAACACACGTGTGTGCGAGAACACATGTGTGTGCAGGCAAAATGTACAAGTGTACAGGGCACACATCTTAGCATTCTTCATAGCGTCTGTTTCTCAGAATGAAAATGTTACTAGTAATTAAACACGGCAGCACCTCAGTAACGGGAGCAAAATGAGCACGCTGACCGTGTCTCTGGCTATATGTCTGAACTCAGATTGATATTTTTATAGAAACAGAGTTTTTTCAAATTCAGATTACTACCATTCCAAAGACAACGCCAACCCCGTTTTCAAATTCGGAGGCCCACCTCTGTCCGATGGACCATGAGCCAGTTCCCGTCAGATGTCTGCTTGTGGAATTCCAGGTAAGGATCTGACTTTCCAAATAGGTCCTACATTTAAAAAAACGACATGAAACCACACGTGATGCTTGTTACATGGTAACAGTGCCTGGAGTCCATCAGATACAATCCACCTCCCCCCTCACCATGTCAAGACCAGTTGACGTCTACAGCAAGGCATTTCTGACAACTGCGCATAATCCCGTGCAGCACACCCTCATGTCTCAAAGTACACGATGGCTTTAAAATAGTGACCAACACGACCCATCATCAGTAAGGTAGGTCTGGTAGCTCGAATTTCTGCAAGTTTGGTTTCAGAGAGACTTATAAATACAATATAAATATTACAACTATAAAAACAATACAATCTGTTTGGGGCTTGTTCTCACTGTGGACAGTGTGCGCTCTCACAGGGCTCTGGGCAGTTAGTTGGATGTAAACCATTTCCCAAGCATTCACGCTGACTCAGGGCAGGGCAGTTACCAGCCATCCAATGGATTCAGAGGGGTAAACGATTTGCAAGATCACATCTCTAATGACTGATGGAGCTGAGTCTTAACTTCATATCTTATCTTTCTATGTCTATTCCACACATTTCTTTACGCACACAAGGGACAGATGTACACATGTGGGAAGCACAAGAGAATTACTTCAGGGCACAAATACATCTTTTTCCTCCGTCATTCACCACAGCGGTCCTATACAGCGCCCCAGCACAGCGAGTGCTCAAGTACTTTCATCGCCATCCTCAGCACACGCACACACATGCACACACACGTGTACACACACACACACATGTACACACACACACACAAACATGAGATCAAGTTCTGGAAGGTTGTACAACTCACTCCCAGAGGTTAAACTCAAGTAGTGAGATTATGAAGGATTTTATTTTCTCAGTTTTGTTTATCTTCGTTTTGAAATTTCCATACCTCTTAGAATATATTGCTTCTCATTTGTCAAAATGAAAGGGCACCTGCTCGTTAACTCCACAAAAATCATGCAGCTGTGTCCCTGCACTGAAGATTTTTCAGTCCGGAATTAACCTCTGTACTAAATTAAGAACTAAGATAGTATCATTTCCCTCCACAGTACAATTTAATGTCAAGCTGGAGACATACGCGGTACAGTAAAAAACAGAGGCTGTGCAGAACTTTCCAAAGCTAACCTTATCTCTAAGAAGAACCGCAAGGTCATGTACGTACTAAACCTCTCTGTGCCCCATTCTATAGTAACAGTGTTATGCATAAGGAAATTGACTTTTCAAAAACACATTCACATGCCCCGTCTCTTATCCTAGAAATAAACCTATGAGAAAGACAGGATAGCAATGTTACCACTTTGAAAGTCAGAAAACAGCCCTTGTTTGAAAGTTCATGAGTTGTCAGTAGAACAACACTAAGAATTAAAAGTCCCTGAGTCAGACCTCCAGAATATGCTAAGTGAAAAGGGCCAGGTGGAGGAAAGGCTGCACATGGTGTGATCCACTTACCCAGGGGCTGGGGACGGGGAACCGAAGCGCAAACACAGATATGTGCATACGTACATACTCACGTATCTATATAGACACACACATACACATATGGATATACACACAGAGACATAGGCAAACATACACATGTATATGTACACACACACAAATACAAACAAAAAACCTTACTTTTTTTTTTTTTAGGAAATTGAAAGATTAAACCATAAAATGTAAATTAAAAAAAAAATTTTACCTATAGGAAGGGAAGAAGAAAAGAACAGAGAACAGACAGGGAAAGAAGCTAAATTTCATGAATAGACTTTGTCTTGGAGATTTGGCTGTAGAACCATGTAAATCTTGCATGATTATAAAACAAATTTAAATCAAAGTTTTTTCAAAAAAGTAATTCCTAAATATCAAAAGCAGAATTCAACTATGTGTCAATGTGTCAGCATAACCATTCAGAGAAGAATTATTTCTTTAAAACGTTAAGAATTTGACTGAGTGGAATATAACTCTAAGAACAAAAAGAACATCAAGGAAAGCTCACAGTGTTCTCAGGAAAAATATTTTAACCTTAACATGCATGTGTTCATTCAGAAATATTAGAAATTATGTTAAGAGAAGACAGACAGGCAATTATGTTAATATCATTGGGAACCAAGATGTTCTGCATAAGAGGAAGAGGTGTAAATATACAGTTAAAGAAGTAAAGCCTCATAATTCTGTACCTGAGTTGGAAACAGTTATGTAAATTTATAATTTAGTTTTTCTTTAAAGAAAAGGTCTTCCCTATAACTGTCTACTGAAAATCCTATGAACAGTGAGCGACAACAGTCAGCACACAGTAACAGCCTTGCCCCAGGCTGTGTTCTCTGAGGCCAATCCCCAGGCGGGGCTGAGACCGGCTAGAATGAGCCTGGGCAGCTGTCACCCACAGCAGGGGAGCGGCCCAAAACCCGTGGGCTGTGCTAGATGGTCTCGGGGACAAACTTAAAGAGGTTCCCAGGCCCGAGTTGGAATTCTTTGAGCACTAACAAGAGTCAGTCGATAGGGTTCACAGCAGTACTACAAATAAAAGACAACACACAAACACAGGCCCTCACTGGTCACTTTTAGAGAACAGTAGGGAGCCAACTTTATATATTCTGAAAAAATGGTAAATATAGGGGAAAAAATCAAACGTTTTAATTTGCCTTTCTGTACAAACTGTGTCTCACAATAAATAAATACTCGATGTGGAGAAGAATACTTCTCTCTGTAGAAGGACTCTCACTGATAAATGACAGCGTGAGAATCCCACTATTCTCCAGACCCTTAATAAAATAATGTATCTAGGTAGTTATCAGTGGTGACTAACATCCCAAAAGACACAACTCACCAGTGTGAGCCTCCTGATGGAATTAAGGGCCACCGCCTATGAAACTGTCTGACCAACAATTCAAAATACCATCAGAGCATACCTCCCGACTCAGTGACCAGCTTACAGAAATCAGGAAACAAAGGTGGAGAGAAGAGCATGTGGAATGACAGCAGAGATTTAATCACCTCGCACTGACTGTGGGAACTTCTACAGGAGAAAGGAGTCAGTTTCTTTATTGAATAAGTTCCATGAAGGATGGGAGGATGGATGGATGGACGGACAGACTGATGGATGGACGCATGATGGATAGATGGATGGATGGATGACGGATGGATGGGTGGACGGATGGACGGACAGACTGATGGATGGACGGATGACGGATAGATGGATAGATGGATGACGGATGGACGGATGGATGGATGGATGGATGGACACACAGATGGATGGATAATGGATAGATGGGAGAGAGGGACAAATGACAGGGAATGACGGAGGGAGGAAAGAAGTAACAGGAAAGCGGGAATTTATAGATTAAAAAAGGTTTCAGAGACATAGTAACCAATTATATTTTTAAGAAGTCTTTAGAGATACACCAAAATATTTACAGATAAGATGATACGATGTCTGGGAGGAAGGAAAGTAGGTGGGTAGAGATGACACAAAATTGGTCGTGAGCTATAGTTGTATAAGATGGGTGATGGGAACACAGATTTTTTAAAATACTATTCTATTTTTGTATATGTTTTCATTTTTCCAAAATAAAAAAAAAAAAGTCCGTGGGTACCAGTCTAAGAGGTCTGCAAACATGCAAACACACACACACACACACACACACACACACACACACGAAAGCAGAATTTGGCTTGATGGTTAGATGGTGCAGTTCCTATTAATTGCCTTCTATCTCCTCAAACAGGAATGAAAGTGAGGCAAAACAGGATATCCTGGTTGAACTCTGCATCAGCTACCCACCTTATTATCCAGTTTTCTTGCTTCCATTTCAAACAAGACCACCCGGTTATCCTTTATTTCTTCAGCTGAAATCTATGAGTAGATAAGGTAAGTGAAAGAAAGTATGTCTTAGAGATTCTGATAAACACAGGAAGTAGTGATTTATTCTGTTATCTAATAGTATATAAAGTCTAATATAAACTGAATTCTAAAATGTTTAACAACTACAATGTACAATTATGGAATTTATCATATCTTTTATACATGTGAAATAAATATTTTCCCAAATAATGCCAAATCTGCATTATGCAACTTCCTTTTTAGATGCTGTTGACCACACTGGGTCGTCCCCATTCCAGTGAAAAATCACAGCCCTGGGAACGTTCACAGCACTGAGACCTGTAAGTAAATCACTC